TCTGATAAGTGCCCCCTTTTATTTGGACACGTGCCCCTTTTCCTTCGACAAGTTTCCGTTTTCCTTTGCAATAAGTGTCTATTTTCCATTCCCATAGGTGCCCTTTTTAATCTCTAGTAAGTGCCCCTAGTTAGGTACGAGAAGTGCCTCTTTTCACTTTTCACTTATTTTACTTTGACAAGAATAGTGCCCCTTTTCCTTTGTAAAAAGTGCCTCTTCCCTTTTAATAACTACCCCCATTTTAAATCGGATAAGCTCACCTTATATTTGTCCCCTTTTTCCTTTCTAAAAGTGCCCCTTTTCCTAATGATAAGTGCCCCATTAAAAAAAAGCCCCTTCCCCTTCTCATAAGTGCCCCTTCTCTGGTAAATGAGCTTTTTCAGGTACAAGTAGTTACTATTTTGCAATTCAGATAAGTGCCCCCTTCACCTCTGATAAATGCCCCTTTTAAACCTGATCGGTGCTCATTATCTTTTAACTAATGCACATTTTCCTTTATTACAAATGCCCCTTTTTCATTCACCTAAGTGCCCCTTTTCAGCTGCAACAAGTGCCTCTTTTCACCTCTTATAATTTCCCTTTTAAAAATAGATATGATATCTTATAAATGCCCCTTTCAAAATCTGATGGGGGCCCCTTTTCGGTCGACAAATGCCCATTTTCTGTTCTCATGACTGACTTTTTTCATCTCTGGTGAGTGCCTCTTTTTGAGCGTGTAAGAAGTGCCCCATTTTCATCTCTGATAGTTACTCTTTGTACTTCGGCACATGCTCCTTTTCTTTCCTAAAAAGTGTCCCCTAGTCCTCTCATCATTAAACGCGCCCTAGCTAATTTCAGGCGACTAAGAGCAATTTCCCCCAAAGCTCGCTCGCTACGCTCGCATGCATCTATAGAGGATGTACTTATGTTACTTATCAAAGGTCTGTTCAGTCTTCCGTTATGAGAATGTGCTTATAACCCCATTAGGATTGGTTTTTTCTTCCTCTTTATAAGATATAATTTTTCGTACTGCGACCTCATACATCTTAAAAAATTTCCTCGCTCGCAACAATTTTTTAGACAATTAAACCCAACTGCAAAGCATCATGCTTAAGCAATATCTTGTATGGTGTATAAAGTGAAACAAATATTGAAATCATCCCTGATAATTGTAATTACAATGTAGGGGTATACCAATTTCTAAAAAATTGTATATTTTCGCTTTGAGATTTTCCTTTGTAGGTGCCCTTTTTTCCAGAAAGTGCCCTTGTTTCTTGGTGCCCCCCCTCCCACTTTAGAAGTCGCTCGGCCGCCCCTGAGAACTATGTTTTTTGAGATCTCCTTAAACAGAATATTGGAATGGGTTTTCACGATGAGTGTTGTTTGGAGACATCAATATTCATAAAATGTATGTTTCTATCACCAGGAAATAAAGAATTTTCTGTCTACATGAACCTTTCCTGGTTGCTTATTAATGCACTTGCCCACTGGTAACATAATACTTTCGTAAGTTGATATCCCTCACCATAGGATTTTTTTTTGGTAATGTCTAAATTTCGTTTAAAAATAGATGATATCAGTCTGGTAGGCCTACACTGCGGGCAAGAGTCAGGACTAACATTTAGCATGTTATTAATTTTATTACCACTCTTATATTCTCTGAAATGTTATTTCATTGAGGGTGACTTGAAGAAGTTAATAACTTGGAAGGGAGGGGGTGCAACCTGCCACACGCTTCTACCTCTTGGTTGCTTTGATCCATTATCGAAAATATTTTGGCACTTATCATCCCCCCCCCCCCCCCCAACCACAGATACAAATCGACACCCCTGCACACACACATGCGCACAAATGTTCTTCGATATTTTATATTTTATATTTGATACGTGTGGCATGATTAATTTTGTTGTGATGTTTTTTGACCGAAGACCGAATTAATACCCAAATCCCAATCGTTTTATTCGAACATCACATTAGCTTTTTTGGCGCAAGTTGATTGTCGCACTCTCTTAAACAATGTCACCATTCAAGCGTGATCATATACCACACAAAAATAATACTAAATAATTCGGAATAAAACACTATTTTATGAGCTGTAAAATAATTCATTGTCCATAGATTTTTTTTTTTAAATAATTAGCAATTTTCTAGGTGTAAACTTTATTTTGGCTCATACCGTAGAGAGTCTTTTTACAGATCCTGATTAAATGAAGTCACACAGAGTGTGTGAATGGACTGTCATACCAGGGAGATGTGAAACTCACATCTCCCTGGTCATACTGAACTAGTAGAATTGGAGATTTAATTGTTAAAGTTAAAAATATCTAACCTTTAGATTTGTTTTAATAGAACTTAGGCCGTGCATGACCTGAACATAAAGTTGACTTCTAGTTACGTGATAACCATGTGAAAGAAATTTTGCGGAAAATGATGTGTAGTAAATGAGAAGTATGTGAGGTTTGGGTTAGATACAACTTGATAAAAAAGGAACGATTCTTGTTAAGCTTACATTTACGGCATTTAAAATGATTATATGAAACTATACATCTACAATGCTTGGTATCAAACTTTTCAGCTTTTTCTCATCATAGTTTCAATATGAAGGCATTCAGAAAAGCAATCCTCTTCAAGAGAATTGTATTATTGTTGTAAAATCGATTTTCAAAAATGTTGTAGAGATCACTTTACCTGTTACACGGGAACTCAAAAATCTCTTTACGATTCACAATTCGTCTATGTTTCGGCAGGTACATTCGACGCCACTGGTGACTTTAAAGATTGTACAATTCCTTCCTCTTATTCCGGAGAAAACTATTGGTACAATGAAACTGGTAAGGCCTCAATCTTAAGTTCAAAAGGTTTTGTTAATTTTTATTTTATTTCATTTCATTTAATGTCATTCCTTTTTGTTTCGTTTCGTTCCATTTAGTTCCATTACATTCAATTTCTTTTTTTCTTTTTTTTTCTGTGCTCGTTTTTATTTTCATTTGTTATTCCACTTACGTTTCTTATTTTCATTTCATTTATCTTTAATTTTTAATTTCAAGGTCTCAATCAAAGATCGGACATTCTTTTCTAGTATGATAGTGTCCAATCGGACGTTTGGTAATATACAGAAAAAAATAAAAAGAATGATTTTCATTCGAATTGTATTTTTTATTTTTGTGAATAACCGAAAATCTAGTTTTAAATGGATTGAATTACGTTCAAAGTTAAATGAAAATCCTTATCAATATGGCTATATCAGCGAAAGGTATGTACAACGATTGGAGTACATGCCTTGCTCGGTATTGAAATAAATTCGAACATTATCATATTCAAATTGTTAGGACTGGAATTTAGGAATGATTATATTTGGTAAGGGTAACGCAAGCCGAATAAAGATTCATAAACGAATCATTACAATACTCTTTACCTCAATAAGTTATATTAAATAAATGACATTTAATTTGCTCTTATTCATCGTTTATTGTATGCACGCCGATAAAAAATATATAAAGATATTCTTAAAGAAGTTTTCAAGACTTTGTTGAATCGCGAATTAATTTCCTCCTAGTTTTTTAATGTACCTAGCTTACGCGTAGCCGATCCTCTGAGCAGTTTGAAAATAAGGTGTACATAATCATTTTATAGAAGCTTAGAGAAAAGCCTTAACTCACTGTTTCTTATATACATGTAGTATAAATAGTCCTCCAGAAATGAGGATTATTCCCAACCATTATTACTTGTTACATCTTTTGCTCATTAGCCAATTGACACATAAGCTGATTTGTCATGTGTGCAGATCTAAACAATCAAGCAGAAATAGGCACCATTTAACAATTATATTAACCCAATGATTTGTGAATGCATCAATTAGTTCCATTTCCTATCCTAATGATAATTCAAAGTGATGTGCAAAAATGCATTCATGAAACAAATCCCAAAGTGCGAGAAAAGAATTATACTCTCCCTTTTACGAATGACAATGTAGATCAGGCTATGGTGTTTGGATCACTCACAGGATTAAAGGATGGACATTTTCGTATCATTTTTCTCATTCCAGTTCCTGCTACAGTTTACGATGGGATGGACGACGACGATAAGGGATGCACCGCTTTTGGAGGTGCACTACCAGTCCCCACACAAAGCGAGGATGGTTTTCTACTTAAATTTAGTTACGACATCACCCTTTTCAATAACAATGGCAATGGCAATGGCAAAGGAAACTCAATGACGTCTATGGGCACTTACATAATTTCTTGTAAACCCAGCAATTTCTCGATTTCATCTGAAAGCGGTCTTGAGATGAACGTTTCGTGTCAGGTCTTCTTCGGTTTGTGGGCGGTAAGTTTTGGCTATTGGCTGGAACACCAATAATAGACCCCACTACAAATATATGAAGAACATGCATTTTCATCCTGTAAATCAGTCAACATCATGTAAAATTAAACGTTGATACAGAATGAAAATGATTATTGTTATGATTATGGCTATTATAACTTCTTTCTTATTACAAGTTTTACAATTTTGAAATTTGATGCCTACTTGATGAACAAATTTCTTTTTAGATTGTCCATCACCGAATATGAAATGTAAGAAGATAGTGTTTTGTTGTCAAACATCTATTCACACAAAATCTGATTCAGTTTCTTATTATGAAGTGTTCCAAGAGGCTATTTGATCAGAATAAAAAATGCTATACTTTACAGCTTTAACATAGGGTATATGCAATCCGACGAAGATTCAGGAAGATGGGGTATGACATTGTTTTTGTTTTGGGAAAAACCCTTTTCAATTTGTTTCATGAAGGTAATCACCTGGAAATATTATAAAGGCTTATACAAATTCCTCTTGCATGCATCCTACATAATTATGAACACATATGATTCAAATTGTCGTTTTGATGATTGATATGGAACATCTTAAATAGGCAAACAGTCCTATATATACACCTAAGCGGAAGGAAGATTAAATTCAATAAATGTATGATTCATACATTTTATTTTGTTTTTAAAGGTAAGAATTCAAGCAAGTGGTATAGGAATAGTGAAGATAAGTGGGATGCAGCTCTTAGTACGTGGGAAAACAACACCATTACCGTTTGGAACAATGCGGCCATCAATCACTTTAGTTTCTACTACTTCGCCAACAACGAGCCCAAGTGAGCGCATTACAGGTAAAAGTAAGAATGCGTAGTGTAGAACATTGAGAGGGGACGGAAATCAACATTATTTTAATTTAACATGATCACAAAGAATTTCAATAAATCGAATCATGGGCAGTTTCAATACCCTATTGTCTTTTACATACAAATCAAGTTAGAATTACGGAGTACGTTATTGCGATGTTCGCACCATACAAAAAAGTGAAATTTTCAAAAGTCTCTAAGTTGAAACAAATTCTTATCACAAGTGAAGTTTTAAAATCGAATAAACTTAGGCATCCCATATATTTGTTAATAGATTATACTGATGTCATTTATTCAGTAGCTTCTACTGGCATGACTGGTTTCGTGGGCACCGCATTCTCCTCTTCATCGCCACCGTCGACGACCAGTCCATCATCTTCGTCTTCCATGTCGACAATGACCAGGAGCTTGACGACCCGTCCTAGCACATCTTCGATTGATATCCATTCTAGTAGCTCGCCAATCATTACCACTGAGTCATCAACGGCACAAGATCGTTCGTCAGGTAGGAAGTCAAATCCCTTCATTACGCATTTAGTACTCACATTTCAGCAACTGACTGTTCTGTTTTTCTACATAGTGCAATTACCTTTAACTTTGATATTTATCAGACAGATCAGTACGTGTGTGTTTTTGTACATAGGAGATAGTGTAAGTGTATAAGAAAATTATTTCCTTTTTCCTCTCTCTATTAAATGAGTAATAATTTAAATGATGTACATAGTTATACTCACTAGAGACAGACTTTTATATAAGGTCTGGCATTCATGTCTTGTCTAAAAATACTTTCATAAATAAACTTGTTTTTTTCTCCCCCGGTTGTTCCTTTAGGCTTCTCAGCAAAATTGTTATTATTTTGTAATGTTTTGATATGTTTGTAACTTTTATTATATGTTTGATTTACCTTTGTATATTTTTAAAGGAAATATTGAATAGAGTGAACTGAACTGTACTAAATGACAAGATCGCAAATACTTTCGAAAAAGACCAGTAGGGAATTGTATAGCCTTGTACGTGTGTCACATATCGAAATGTGCAAATGTTACATGACACATTACGTAATCCGAAAATGATTACCGAAGACCGTACATCAGGGATTTGGAATTTCCCTTATTTAAGAAGAAAAAAAAAGTCGTTTCGATCGTGTTAATTATGTCATTTTATGAAATTAGCATGACTAATGTTTAGTAGATACTAAAACACACGCCATGAGGCACATTTGAGGTGGAAACCTCAATAATTAGGGAAATAAGGGTAAAATCTGCTATGTCAAACAAGTAATAAAATGAATCATACAATAAAAAAAGGGGATATTTAAGGGTTCAGTAACAGCACAGACCCAATCTGCTAATATCCGAGGTAAGTCATTCAAAGTGCCTGACTTCACAATTTAAATGAAATTTATATTTTCCCCCGAACTTCGCTCGGTAGCTCAACATTCAATACAACATAGAACTTATGATTATACATCCTGTATCATGTTTGAAGATTTCCCCACAGCATCTTGATTATTGGAATCGCTTTTATTGCTTCGCATAAAATGGATAATCTTCATTTTTTATAATTTTGAACAGGTATGAAAAAATCAGTGATTACCGTTCTTGTGGTACTTCTTATCGTGCTGCTTATCGCTTTGATAGTAGGAGTCTTCTGGTACAAAAGAAGGTAAAGACATTCGCTGTGGTACCCTTTGTTTTTCCATGTATTTTTCTTGTATTCAAAATAACTATTTTTTTCCCTTTAGTGTTTACAATTTGTCTTAGCAAGCATCATACCCTGTTATAGCACAATAGACATTGGTACATATTTGCATCTGTATAATGCAGTACGTTAGTACATCAATGTTAAAGCGGTACTGCACTACTTGTAGCTACTTGTGCCTTCGACATGTATAATAGCAAACAAGGCCTAATCGGTACCCGTTGGTCCCCCATGATCCCTTTCTCTTATGTTAATTGAGAGCTGATTGATTAGATAACCGCCTGCCAGTGACCTTGCAGGGAGGTCTAACCCCTCCTGGCCAAACTATTGCAAACAGGCTTTAAGTTAACCAATGTCACAGAACTTTAAGCTCGTATACAATTCACCACACTTATGTCCACTCTTCAGGGAGTGTATTGATCAAATTTTGCAAATTAGAAATTGCAATGACCATGTACCATCCCTCATGTTTCCTTTTTCACCTGGGTGACTAGAAAATGGATCACAGTTTTTGAAAAGGGGATTAGTTCCGGACCGGGTCTCGAACCCATGACCTTTATCTCCAGTCACGTGTTCTTATCACTAGACTTGTATATGTTCACATCGTTATCCTGATGACATGTTGTTTCTCACATTGAATGTTAATAACCTTTCACAAACAGAAAAGCGATCGTTACAAGCGTACTAATTCGTTTATTTTGCAGAGGAAAATTGGCAACATCTAAACGGAATCAACAATCCAGAAGCCCAAATGGTATCGTGCAGAATCCTACCTTTCAGAATGACGATAGCGAACATGAGTACGCAGAGTATCCGGAAAAGCCTTCTACCAAGGGTACCACCCGCATCAGTTCTTCTGAAGATGCTCAGCAACACATCTACTCAGACCTACCTGCCTCTGCCTCTAAGGATAACAATGGTGTCATCTACAACGAGGTTGGAGAACAGGACTACAATGTACCCTTCGGTGGCAAGGAGATGGGCGACTATCATGAATACAATCTTCCAGACAGTGATCATGGCAGGTCGAATGCCAAGGACCCTACTAACGAAGACTCTTATCAGGAACTATCAGAAGATGGAAAGAGATGTTCTCCGAAAGGAACCCAGGGTACCACCCGCATCAGTTCTTCTGAAGATGCTCAGCAACACATCTACACAGATCTACCTGCCTCTGCCTCTAAGGATAGCAATGATGTCATCTACAACGAGGTAGGCGAACAGGACTACAATGTTCCCTTCGGTGGCAAGGAGATGGGCGACTATCATGAATACAATCTTCCAGACAGTGATCATGGCAGGTCGAATGCCAAGAAATCTCCTAACGAAGACTCTTATCAGGAACTATCCGAAGATGGAAAGAGATGTTCTCCGAAAGGAATCGAGAGACATGCATTACCAGGGATGACAGAGAAAGCAATTGAAAGTCAGCCGAAAGTTGGTGTTCCAAGTAGAACAGGTGGCCACGCATATCAAGATTTACGAAAGGACGATGGCGGTTACACTTCCCTGGGACTCCCGCAGAAACCTGTGACTAAAGTAACTGCTGCAGAACTGGAGAATAGCTACCAGGCTCTTCATGCAGACGGGCCAGACTATTTCACACTGAAACCTAATGAAACGAAACCGTCTCCGAACCCCGACAATCTTCAAAACAGCACCTACCAACCTCTCCGACAAGAGCCTGAATATGCCATCCTCGAGTCTGAGCAAAGTGACAATCCGGCTAAACCTGTGGACAACACTTATCAGTCTCTGCTGAAAGATGCCAACAACCATGCCGACTCGGATATAGAACACCGTAAGGACAACACACCCAAGCAAGGCCAAAGCGATCCATATGATGTACTGCAAAGAGGTCCAAAGACAAAACAGTTGTCTTTGGATGGTTATGGTTCGTTGGGTCCAACAGCTAAAGAAGAGGAAGAACATGATTACGAATCCCCAGAGGGTAAGCCGAAGGCAACGACTGACTATGAGGATCCGATACAAGATAATAGCGTAGCTGACGGACCATATGATTCTCTTCAGCGTAATGCTATGCCGGAACCTCCAAGGTCTAGTCCGTCACTGGCAAATCGAGCAGTAGATGATGGAGATGACGACGACTATGAAACTCCCGATAGGTCCAATGATGATCCAACTGACGCTAATTACCAGACCTTAGACAACCGACAAGAGAAATCTGATAGTGGCAACGAGGAATATTCACATCTTCAGCGGTCTCCGGGAGCTAAACTTTCACACGATCCAACTGGTGTCTCGGATAATAGCAACCAATACGGGACACTGAGCTATGGCAATAGTGCTGACAAATAAATGTAGTACTGGTGACAGTAATATTCATATCGTAATTCGCTGAAGGTTAAACGAAACCAATAGTGCCCTAGCTGAGTTCCTTTAGAAACCCTATAAGACACCTTAAAAGTTCCCAAGCCATATTAGAGTGAATCCTGTTTTTAACTTTTGACGATTTTAGGTTATGGGGAAATCATGGTTATGTATAATAATAACCATGGCAACCCTGCAAATTCATCTCGATTTTACATGGAAACATCATGAAAATGAAGCTTTCGCATTTTACGTTTCTTTAATCACAATGTCATCCATGATTATTTTGTTTTTATGTATTGCTGAAGGGAATGTAAAAAAAAGGTCATCATGAATGCAAGACAATTTCCGACTTATTACTAAAACAGTAGAATGTTGATGAAATAATGATACATCAACAATATCTTTTGACTAGAGCAATTTGTAATACATGTATAAGTAACATGACAGAAGTAATTTGATCTGATTCATGGTATGTTGTTTATTTGTTCATTCATGTCTTTCAATTTTTTGGCTTTTGGTTTAATAAGGTAAATAATTATGTGCATCACAGTAACCTGGAATTCGTAATATTACAATAGTTGGTATTATACATAGGCCATAAATCAGCCCATGTAGTGTAAATATAAGAAATGTGAATTATGAAGAACATATCTGTAAAGAACACGACTTATGTCACGTTTAGTGGATTACAAGTATGTCTTTACGAGAAGGAGTGATATTTCAAAAACGTCATCATCAATGCAAGACAATTTCCGACTTATTACTAAAACAGTCGAATGTTGATGAAATAATGATACATCAACAAAGTCTTTTGACTAGAGCAATTTTTAATTCAGGTATAAGTAACATGACAGAAGTAATTTGATCTGATTCATGGTATTTTGTATATTTGTTCACCCATGTGTTTTAGTTTGTTGGCTTTTGGTTTAATAAGGTAAATAATGATGTGCATTACATTAACCTGGAATTCTATATATTGCAAACATGTGTATGATACTTAGGCTATATATCAGCCCATGAAGTGTAAATATAAGACATGTGAATTATGAAGAACATATCTGATTAACAGAAGTTGCTTTCATGGTGGATTCTGGGCAAAAAGAAAAATATTTTATGAATTTACATGCCGCTTTAAAAATGAATTTTCGTACCCTCTCTTCAAATTGTTGTAAATTACTCAAGCGTGAAAATGCATCATATGAGTGGCATCAACTGAAAGAAGAGGATCTAAGCTTTACAAATATGTGACATTTCTTAATTATAATTGTGATTAAGTTATGATAAAAGATTGATAATTCTCGGTTTCGTTTTTTCTGGGACGCACTGTTTAATTAACATGGCCGCGGTAATTGTATCTGATTCATGGTATTTTGTTATACATATATTTGTTAATTCATGTCTATCATTTTGTTGGCTTTTGGTTTAATAAGGTAAATAATTATGTGCACCACATTAACCTGGAGTTCTACATATTACAAGAATTTGTATTATACATATAGGCCTATGCCAGAAATCATCCCATGAAGTGTAAATATAAGAAATGTGAATTGTGAAGAACATATCTGTAAAGAACACGACTTATGTCACGTTTAGTGGATTAAAAGTATGTCTTTACTGGGAGAAGTGATATTTTCAAAAACTTTATAATAACAGCAGTTGCTTTCATGGTGGATTCTGGGCACACAAAAAGATGAATTTACATGTGTGTATATATAGGCCTATAGGAAGTTAAATTCTAGGACACTTTCTTCAATATCTTTTATTACAGCAAAATATATAGTTATACAAATACCTGGCAAAAATAGTATAGGAGTAGCCAATAATTATATACAAACTATCTTGAATGTAATAGCTCTTCACTTTAAATACAACCATTAACATTTTTACTCAAGTATAATACAAAGAAAACTGTGTATCGTGTTATTATTCCAGCGCACATGAGAGAGACAGAGAGAGAGAGGGGGAAGATAGATAGAGAAAGAGAGGAAGCGAGAGAGAGAGAGAGAGAGAGAGAGGGGGAGAGACCAGGATGTAGGAAAAGTCTAGCTAAGCTACCTGTCTTCAACCCTCGAGGCGGATCAGATCCGTTTACACGACATAAAATTGTCGGGTTGAACACGCCTCGCGGGTTGAGACCTGCAATTCTGGTGGATTCAAATTAAGGCGGATCACTGGGATCCCGTTTACACACATAAAATTGCCGGCTTCAACACGCCTCGCGGCTTCAACCCGGCTTCAACCCTCGAGGCGGATCACTGTATATGACTGTGTGTTATTTAGTACGCGTGGGGGGTATGTCGTGTTCTGATATAAGATTGTTCAGAATAAAGGCTACCTTTATATAGGAAGAAGTTAAACAGTCATACTTTGAACGCTACGATGTTGAAGCTCTTTTTGAATTCTTTTAATGGAATTATCTCTCGAGAGAAACTTGCTTGATTGGCATGAATGGACTAATTCTGGATGTCACAAAGATGTTTAGACCAGCGAAATATAACCAACATCGACGAAATCTTGCATGAATATTTCGTTCCCTGCAAAGTACTTCAACACGTAAGTCAACTATTTGCTTAACTTCCTCATTGTGTTTCAATTATGTAGGCTGACAATTTAGTTACACACCAATACTTATATGCTAGATGCTCAACCTTTTCTGATCGATTCCACAACGTTTCTTTCACTATGCAATCGCATGCATGACCAGAACTGGTCTATACCTTTAAAGTCGAATTTCTTATGACTTTTTATTCAAAAGCTACCAAAGTTGGGTATACATTTTGGTATACGTACTGTAGACTTGTGTAACTTACTGATTGAGACTTTCTTATACTTCAGTCAAATTACATTTATTCTGGTGTGTATATTTATACATATAGTATGATGTTGTACGAGAGATGCTTTAGGTTGAATTTCTTATAGTACATCGTTTTGGAGGGGGTTCTTCATTTATGCGCCATATATCTCATGAGAAAAAAACCAGGCAAAATCAACGAATATAAGGATCAAGATAAAACATCGGAGCATACCTAGTCATCGCTCATTCATTACTTACTCAACTACCAGCCACATCTATTTATGCATACTTGCTGATTAAGTAGACGCGAATAAGCAGGCGTTGCGGATTGACTGTTACCGTCCAGTGAATTTTTCTCAACTTTGTTAATTCGTCTAGATTCGTCTAATCAGCAAGTATGCATGAATAGATGATGATCGTCAACGAAGCAGAGTTTAGTCTTTTGTCAATTATGTTAGTTGCTACGGCAGGCAGCCAGAAAATTGAATTCGTTTAATGAATTATGGAAATGCAAGCATTACTTTAAACAAACAGAACTTTGTGATTCCTGGCTCATTTTTTCCTGATTGAAGTGTCATTTCAAAGGGCAGAAAATAAACTTTCTAGAAATGTGATTTTCTTTTTGAAATTCAGATACTGTCCACCAAATTACTTTTTGGTACCCTTTGTTCAAATTGTTTTTATTCACTCATGCGTGAAATATGAAAAAATGACTTGCATCAAATGAAAGAGGAGTATCTAAGCTTTACAAATACGTGTACTTTATTAATTATAATTGTGATTAAATTATGATAAAACATCGATAATTCTCGGTTTCGTTTTTTTCTGGGACGCACTGTATAGGCGCTGTACATTGGCCGTTCAAGACAAGAAAGTGGGCGTGTGGGTGCATGTGCGTGTGTTTGAGTGTATGTGCGTGCGTGACGGGACGATTACGCCCTGGAAAATCACCCCCGGAAAATAAAAATACATGAGATTTATATAGCGCCATCATCCATTTTAATTAAATGCTCAAGGCCTTTCGGACAATTACCCCCGAGGACAACCACCCGAGGACAATTACCCCTCGAGGACAAACACCCCGAGGATAATTATCCCCCCCCCCCCGTTCATCAAAGCGCAAGTCCACCCTGTTAATTAGTTGGTGTTAATGGGGGGGGGGGGGAGGGTAATTTTCCGTGGGGTAATTGTCCCGCTAGTATTGGTCGGGAGTGATTGCCCAGAGGGGAATTATCCTAGAACCTTGTGCGCGCATGTGTTTAATTGAATTTTTTTTTACAAACATGAATCAATCGGATACACTTCTGCTGACCGACCTTTAGCGTCACCATCTGAAAGACGTGACTCACTTACGAACCTGGGTCCGACCACCAAAAGCACACCTCCAAAGTGTGTGTATTGTGTATTTACAGACGTGTGTCAATCAGATATGATTATTTACGTCTGGGGACCGACCTTTAAACGTCACCACCTGAAAGACGTGACTCAGTTTCAAACCTGCGTCCACGGCTGAATCCCCGGCCTCCCCCCCCCCCCCCCACTCAGTGTTATTTAGGGTACGCATATGCTCGTACCCTCTTTTTGAAAGCACCCCCTATCTGAGGACTGCCAACATTTCCGAACCCCCCTTTCGCGGGCTTTTCGCGGGCTTTTTTTGCATTGGAGACCCCCCTAAATCAGGAAAAATGCTCAATGTACCCCCCTAAATTCGGAATAATTTCTCAGGAGTCCAAAGAGATGAGAGAAAAAAGAAAAACACCCCCTTTTTAAAGAAATCTCCGCGTGAAAAGTCAAATACACCCCTTTTCTTACAATTCTCGGGCCGGACTTTGTCGCACGAAAAGTACCCCTTTACCGGACATTTTGGCAACACGCATGCGGTCATTCCGACCTCTGAGTGGGGGGGCCGGGGCTGAATCAGTTTGTAACTTCCACTTTTAGCTGGATTACAGGCGCACGCCGCAATAACGCCTACATAAAATGTCAGGAGACTGACATATGTAGGCTCTGCTCAACGCTTCAGGAATTGTGAACACGTGTCAAATTAGAGTCTGTGCTTGCAGACACTTGGAGATACCTTGCAATTTTTCAAAACATTCACATTACTGCTACTAATACTAATTCTACTACTACATATGTACTTCTACTGATTAATAAAGCATCAACTCCACTTAATGAAAAAACATTATCGTATACACAATCAAGTACCAAAAGTATGTAATGGCCGCGTGAAATAACACATAGATCCAAACAAACATGTGGCACAATATTTGTCTTTCAAACCACAACGACAATATATTTTGCTCTGTAAAATAGTTGTTATTAAATGTGATGGCCAATCTAAATGTTTTTTAATCGTCATTACTAGTGGCCTTCTATATTGTATAGTGAGGCAACTGATCCTTTTACGTAGGACAGAGAAAGTGTCATGATCTACAAAAGTATACTGAAGGAATATTTGTTAACAGTGTGAAATTCATTCGATTAATATGCACGTTTTGTCAAGGAAGTCCTTTC